ACAACGCGAACGTTTCGAAAAAGCAACCGAACAAGCATGAATTTAAAGGTTATATACGTATTAAAGCCACGTTACTACTTTATTACGATTGTTGCACGAATGGGTTTGCTCGACCGTAGAAGAATCAACTTTTCATAGAATACCAGCGTGAAATGGCAGCTAAATGCAGCAGTATTGTTTTGTGTGGTGGATTGTAGAGAAACGGAGTCCATCTTTATTGGAAAAGAGGCATTTCAGCTTATTTTTCACGGGTTATAATGGATCTGTATTGTATTATTTAATCAAGGATAGATATCGATGCTTATCATCAGGTGGATTGTAAGTAAGTTAGTCATCCATATTCTATAAGAGCTCACTTTATCAAAGTTTACAAACGACTCTGACATAAATGTTTAAACATTACGATTGGTTACTCCGCGTTCATCGGCACACAAGAGGTTGCAGGTTCCCATCGTACTCGTGATTCAGTTCAATTCAAATTGGGCCTGTCCCTCACCTAAATCAGAGTGTGGTCCAAGCTAAGGTACCTCCTTCTGAGAGCCCTCTCTTAACCACGATGATTATAGATGCAAACCAAGGGAAAGAACAACCATTCTTGCCCTTGGTTTGCATCTAAAATTATAAAGAGCGAACATCTACCTATACTTATGAAAAGTCTTGTCCTGACTCACTGACTGACTGACTAATCTATCAACGTACAGCCTAAACCACCGAAGTAAGTAACTTAAAATTTTGACACTAGGTTTCTTTTATGACGTAGGCGAGCACTTAGAAAGAATTTTTTGAAATTCGGCACCCAAAGGGGTTAGATGGGGTTTAAATTTTTTATGAAAATCCGCCATTTTCAAGATATATCCATTAAATTCGGTATTTAAGCTTAAAACTAATAAACAAAGAAGTACGTATTTCACAGTTTTTTTTTAATTCTACTCACAAAGGAGTTAAACAGAGGTTGCATGTTTGTATGATAGTCCTTCATTTTTCTAGTAATGTTTATGAAACTTGGTATTTTGGCTCTTGATTAAAAATAAAGAAGTATATTACATTTTTTGAAAATTCTATTCGAGACGGGGTAAAATAGGGGTTGATAATGTGTACGAAATTTCGTAACTTTAGTATTTTGGATTTTGATTAAAAACAAAGAAGTGTTTGTTTTACAATTTTTGAAAATTCTATCCCCGGAGGGGTTAAATAGGGGTTGAATTTTTGTATGATAGTCCTTCATTTTTTAAGTTATGTTTATGAAACTTGATATTTTGGCTCTTGATTAAAAACAAAGAAGAACATATTTTACACTTTTTGAAAACTCTACCCTCGTAGGGGTAAATCTAGTTTTACCTCGGGATTTTGCTGCTCGTATAAAACATAGAATATTGTAGCCCTGTTAAATTAATTAAGTATATATGTAAATATGTGAATAAAGGATCCGACTAGGCATCATTTGTTCTTGAAAATGATAGTGAAGAAGGAAAATTATACAATAGTGGTAATAAGCAGCTCTGAAGCTGTCTGGAGAGTCCTGGCGTTTCGCATTCACGAAAGATTTCCAGCAGTTTTTAATCTTGCGGTGCATTTGGAAAATTACTAGCGTGTGTATTTCAATCCCAATACCAACAATGTAGCTGATAAAGTAGAAAAAAAAAACCAACAAAAACTACTTTAATAACATTTTTTAATCTCCGCAAAACGAAAATTTTACAAAAACTGTTTTTTATGTTAAAGTCCCTTCATACTTTGAGTGGAAAAGTAGCAAATTTGAAATACGGAAACGTGCAAAGCAACGTAGATGGTTGGCTGGAAGTAAAAAAGGATCAAGCTCTCGGCAGAGTGTATACAGTACACCCTAATAACTCTGAATGTTATTATCTGCGTTTTCTTCTTCATGAAATTTGAGGGCCAACATCGTATACAGATTTAAAAAGTGTTGATGGTGTTGTGACTTTCTGGGTGAACTCGCAGTTAAATAATTCTGAGTTTGTTCATAAGCTCCGTTCTTTTGTACGAACAAAAATAAAACAAAATAATTGGATAACAAGAAATCTTTACAAGCCCGTTAAGAAAACTCGTGCACGGTTTTTTTTCCTACAGCATCGACTACACACTACCTCCCAAAAATTTGAATTCATACTCGTATACCGACCACGCAGCTGTTACAGTACATTACATTGCCAAATACTATTAAGAAGCCATATACAAAACAAAATAAATTTTATCTAAATTAGTATTAAGATAATTAAAATATAAATACATAAAAAAATTAACCCCCCAGTCACCTTAAAATTCGCAGTCGCATGCGCCCTGCAAATTCCTAGCGGTCGCATACGATGGCACCCACCCGCAGCACTTAAAACCATTAAAACTTATATTTGGAACATTGAAGTAATATGTACTTACGTACTAGAACAGCTATTACAAACAAAAAATGTGCGCTACTCTGTGTTCGCGCGGTTGGTTTTTTTATCATTGAATATACACAGGTAGAATGATCCGTAGGTAGATTGTATTGTTAAATAGGTAAATTATATCGAGAACAATATTTAAATTTTGTCATTTATTTTGTATATTACATTTGCTTATTTAATATAACATTATATCAGAATAACATTTTAATGATATTTTTATCTGAATATTTTAAAGGTATCTATGTCAAATATAAAAAACATACTAAATGTATGTTTAACAAAACTTATTAACATAACATTTAAATTACAAATTTATTTGTTTAAATTGGAATAAAAGCCGTTCATGAATGCTGGGCACGCGAGAGTTAAAAATGGACGAATTTATTCCACTTTGACTTTGTAGTGGAAATCACAAAATAAAATAAAAGAATAATAAGCAGATTTAAATATGAAAAATTTAGCCTAATTATAATAACTTATATATGTTTCTACAAAAACAAATGTGTATAATAATATTTTCGTCCTATACTTAAGTACACACAGAAATATCGCATCTGAATATATTAATTTCATAATCTATATTCCATGACACGAGATGGCGTCTTAGGAATAATTTGTTTTATTATTAATTTATAATACTTTTTTATTGATTAAGTATGTTACTAACCGATGAAAAGTGATTCCTTGGTTTTTACTCAGATTTCTTGAATTATTTGTGCAATATCTAAGTACACACGACGGCATATTTTTATCAAGAGATTTTTTAAATCAACACAACACGTGACAACTCCACAACCGCTTAGCGAGTGACTGATTAAAGTGCGGTGTATGCACCGCAGTTGAGTGGAACAGAGTAGCTGAATGCAGTGTCGCCTCTAGTACGTAGTACATAATAGCTCAATGATTTGGAGACTACTTTTCTATGAAGAAGTTTGGCATTATAAAATCTATACAAAATTCTGTATATTAAAGTCAGGTTTTAGTTCATTACAAAAATACTATTGTATTTTGATAACAAAAAAAAACACCACACGAATGTCTGCAGCGTGAAAATCACTATTATTTCAATATATATTACTCGAAATTATTTACGTAAAAAGAAAAATTATATTCACACAAAAACTTTCATTACAATTTTATAATAAAACACTATACTAAAACACTAATAAAACACTACAAAAATCCTAAAATCAACACAATAACATTCACGCGAAAATGGCGTATGAAATGAACGTAGATTATAAATAAATATCCATAGCATAACTATTTTTTATTGCCGAACCAGTAACATGCTATTGTATCTTCTAAGAAATTTCATTGTTGGTTAAACTACCGCCATCTAGTCATTGCTTCATGAAACACTTAATACTTTTTAATTTATAGCTGCTCTGGAATCTTGCATTTTTAGCTACTTTATGTAAATCAATCAAGTAAGTGTGGCCGCCACAAAAAAATTAAGCACTATTAATAATAATTCTAATGATAGGTATAAAGGAAATACTAAAAAGGAAATCATATTCTATTAAGCAAGTTATTGTTATATGTTATTGTGTTTATTAACTACATTAAAAAATATCATCATCATCATCATCATCATTACAGTCCTTCACAAGTCTACTACTGAACATAGGCTTCCCCAAGGTATGTCACAAAGCACGTTCCTGAGCCGCCTGCATACATCGACTTCCTGCATATCTTACCAGGTCGTCACTCCATCCAGTGGTAGGTCACCCTACACTTGGCCTACCGGTACGAGGCTGCCACTCGAGAACCTTTTTGCCCCATCGGTTGTCGGTTCTTCGAGATAAATGGCCGGCACATTGCCACTTCAGCTTACTAATCCGTTGTTCTATGTCATTCACTCTGGTTCTCCTGCGTATATCCGCATTTCTAAGTTTATCACGTAGAAAAACCCCAAACGTAGCCCTCTCATGGCTCACTTAAAGACTTTGAGCGTCCTCATACGGTCAGAACCGAAGGACCACGTCTCAGTGCCGTAGATCATCACCGGCAAAACGCACTGGTTGTACAGTCTCGTTTTCAGGTATACCTGACGAGAAGACATTCGTCGTAATTTCGTGAACGCTGCCCAGCCGAGTTGAATACGTCAATTAACTTCTCGGCCAAAGCTGTACTTACCTAGTGAGACTATTTATCCTAGGTAAACATACTCGTCAACAACTTCGAGCTTAGTGCTCCCAAACAACTGCCGGCATAGGTGTGACATGGACGTTACACATGATCTTCGTTTTGTCCATGTTCATCTTAAGACCTATCCGTTGGGAGACATTATTGAGGTTATAGAGCATAGTGCTTATGTCCTCCAGGGATTCTGCCATAAGGACTATATCGTCGGTAAATCGAAGGCGAGTGATGTAGTCGCCATTGATGTTAATACCGTATCCTTTCCAGCCCAGTAGCTTGAAAACGTCTTCCAATCCATCGGTGAAGAAATGACATATCGGTGTTACTAAATTAATTCATAAATTAATTCCAGTCTCGCTCGTGACGTTGTACGAAACAGCTGACTTGTGTTTACGTTTACAAAGTTTTTTTTTTTCTACCCTTAGTTTGAAATTATAATAAAAACACGCAAAAATGCCCAAGTGTGACAACTGTGACAAACTAATAGCCAAGAAATCCACTATTCTCGAGTGCAACACATGCTCAAAAACTGTGCATGCTACCCAGGCCTGCACCAGACTAACATCTAAGCAATTAGCAGCACTGCGCAACACTGAGAATCTGGAATGGACCTGCGAAATTTGTCGCCGTGAAACTCCAAGGCAAAGGTCATTTGTCATACAAGAGGAGGAAGAGGAAGACGACGAAGAACTATTATTAACACAGGGAACTGACAGCGGATCCAACGCGATGAAAAAAGTTACTAAGCGACATATCATTCGAGGTTAAAAAAGCAGTAAAGAAAGAAATAGGCTCAGTAAATGAAGCGCTCAGCTCTTGTTGTCAAAAAATGGATGGAATAATGGACACTTTAGCGACAATTAGCGGAAAAAATAAAAGAACTGGAAAACAAGAATACATATTTAACAAACCAAAATAAACATCTAGAGCTGAAAATCGATGCTATGGAACAATACATTGGAAACCTTGAGCAAAAACAGCTTAATAACACATTTGAAGTCGCAGGAGTACCCGAAATAAAAGACGAAAATACGGAAATTATCCTAAATACACTAGCAACGAAGTTAAATATTGTAAAAAAAGAAATAACTACAGTTAAAAGATTGAAGGGGAAAAATGGAAAGGAGGGCGTGATCCAGGTATCTTTCAAACAGGAGGAACAAGTGGACCAGTGGATAAAAGCAGCAAGAAAAGTAACTATACTTGCAGAGGACATCGTTTCCTGTCCAGATCCTGCTACAGCAAGAACAAAGATAATGATACGACGTGCCCTATCCAGTGCAAATAAAACCCTTCTGTGGCAAGCAAAGCAAAAACTTAAGGTTACTTATAAATATATATGGTTCCAGGGCGGTAGAATTTTAGTTCGTAAGAATGATAACGATAAGCCTGTGATCATCCGAAACCTAAGTGACATTGACAAAATGGCGGTGGAGCATATTGTAAGTCGATAGTAGAAACTTTACGCACTAGGCACTACTTTGGAAGTAACTGAGATTTATGATTCGGCAAATTTATGTGAATTTAGTACCTATCTACCTAAACATACTAATCTTTTTAATATTGTACATATAAATATTAGATCTATTATCAAAAACTTTAGTGCAATACTGCAAACAATAAACCAATCACCAATAGCTATAGACGTCATTATACTAACTGAAGTAGGAATTTCAATAAGTAGTAATCTCTCTCAATTATTTTCTATAAACGGTTATGAAATGTGCAGTAAGCTTCGTGAGCAGCGACGTGGTGGTGGTATTATAATGTACATTAAAAATTGCCACAGTTTTGAAGTAGTAAACAACTTAAAATTAACCCACTGTGAATCATTAATTGTAAACATCCAATCTTGCCACCACTACACGACTCACATTTGCGCATTATATCGACCGCCTAATGAAAGCAAGCATCTCTTTATTAATGAACTTAAAGTACTACTATGTCACAATTTAATCAAACACTCTGACTTGTACATAATCGGAGACATAAATATTGACCTGGAATTAAAAAATAACATTCATGATTACTACTTAAGCTGCTTGGCCGAGTGTGGTCTGACGAGAGCGATTTCTGATTTTACAAGAATAGAGATTCGAAATGAAAAAAATCACGCGGAGTTGTATTGACCACATATTCGCGAGATCGCGCACGTCTGACATCTACTCGGCTGCGCTTGGAACAGTACTGGCAGATCACCGCATGTGCGTGCTATCGTGCGCCGGAACTGAGGCTACCAGCAGCAGCGTACAGGCTGAGTCAAAACTCAAACAATTAATTAATAACAAAAAATTAATATCACTTCTCGAAAACGTCGAGTGGAATAAGATTGATAATATGCAGTGTCCGATAGAGATATACAACTTTATTCAAAATAGCTTTGAATACTGTTATAATAATTCTAAATATACTACAAAAAATAGCATAAATAGTAAAAGAAATAAGGAAAGATGGATAAATAATAAGATAAAATTTTACTGCGAAAAAAGAGACTACCTATATAACAAGTGGAAAAAAGATACAACTGATAAAATACTAAGACTAGAGTTTAATAAAATTAGGAATAAAACACATAAACTTATTGAAATGTCTCGAAACAAATACTATTATCACGAAATAAATAATAACAGAAATAACCCAAGGAAGCTATGGAATATTCTGAATTCCATCACAGGCAGAGTAAATAAATCATTAGATGCGGCGATATTAAAGGCTTTTCAAAAAAACAAATTAACAGCTAAACAATTGGCAAATAATTTTGGTAAAGATTTTGTTAAAAATGTTGAAAAAATACTACCCAACTGTAAACAAAACCTTTTAGATCAAGCAGAGTACATATTTCCTCAGAATAGTTCAATGCGGTTTAAAGCAGCAGATGGCAAGAGCATAAATAAAATAATCCAGAAATTGAACACAAACAAATCCGCTGGAGCAGACCAGATTCGCTGTATAGACATAAAATCCTTATGTGAAAAAATCACAACAGCAATTGCAAAGTTGATTAATACTAGTGTTCCTTCTGGTATTTATCCCTCAGAATTAAAGGTAGGAATAGTGAGACCCATCTACAAAAAGGGGTCGCACTGTGATTATGATAATTATAGGCCAATTACAATACTTCCTGTAATAGATAAAATAGTTGAAAAATATATATGTAGTGAGATACATAAATATTATATATCGAATGACGTTCTGTCCAGCACCCAGTTTGGCTTTCAAAAAAATAATTCAACTACTTCTTTGTTATCAAAATTTACCGATGAAATTAATACTTATTTAGACAACAAACAACACATAATTCTTTTATTTATTGACTACAGTAAAGCATTTGATACTCTGAAACACGATTTATTAATACAAAAACTGGAAAATACAGGCATACGCGGGCCTTTACTCAGGTGGTGTGAAAATTACCTCAAAGATAGAAAATACCGGGTGAGAATTGAAAATGATTACAGTGATGAAATACCTGTAACTACGGGAACCGCTCAGGGATCGGTTCTTGGCCCTTTACACTATCTGGCCTTTGTAAATGACATGAGGAATGTGATTAAACATAGTTCAGTGTATCAATATGCAGACGATACTTGCCTAGTAATATCCAATAAAGACATAGCAAAAGCAGAAAAAATGTTACAACATGACTTTACTAACCTCTGTATGTGGTCACATGACGCGGGACTCGTATTAAATTCTGCTAAAACTAAAATTATACATGTACGCTCGATGCACTCTAACAAATACGAAAGACCAATAAAAATACTAGCACACAGCCACGACTGCCTTCATAGTTCGTCTAAAGTTAATACTAACTGTAATTGTAATCCTCTAGAACAAGTTAACACTTATAAATACCTAGGTCTGATTGTGGATGAAAGATTCAATTGGGGTAAACACGTTGAGCATGTATGTAACAAGCTACGGGCTATGCTAGCAAAGTTTGCAATACTAAAATACAAAATGCCATTTCCCATCCTTATAAATCTGTATAACGCTCTTGCTGAGTCTCTTATTTCTTATGGCATTACAAGTTATGGAAAAACATTTAAAACTTACTTAGATAAAATATATAACCTACAAATCAGAATATTGAAAATAATTATACCTAAGAAAGTAAAAACAAAAATATACAGTGAAAACAATATTAATGGAATATTTAAATTTTGCAAAGTATTACCTATACACACAAAATTTCAGATGCTAATACTAATAGAACAATTTCACAATAAAAAAGTGCAAGTTAAAACTAACCATAAAACTATTACAAGAAAAGTTATACAAAATAAACTCGTAACACCTAAAATATATAACTACTATGGTAAACGTACAAATAGATATTTAATTCCTACTTTAATGAACCAAATACCCCCCACGATACTCTCAGATATCAATGAAGATAACTACAAAAACAAATTCAAAAAATATTTCTATGAACAGCTACAACGGGAGTAAATAAATATTAAATACAAAATTATATAATATACTTATAAAATCATCAATTAATTGTTCTAATTTTTATAAATATATATTAAATATGTATACTTGCAACTGAATAAAAACAAATCAAAAATGAAAAACTATAAATAATGATAAAAAAAAGATCAATTCACAGTTTTTGCACCAACCTGTATACTGCTTCTGCAACTAAATAATCCGATCGCCCGATAAGAACGATCAAATTGTCACGCTCATATTCGTGGGCTCACAGAAACCGGTTTTTCTGTCAATACGGCCCGTCCAGAACGCCGGTGATTGCAATTACGGTGATTTGAAATTTATCACTTAAAAATATGTACGTATATACGTAATATTATTGTTACTGTTTATAAGCAGCCATCAATTAGATGATTGTATTAATAGTTTGTATAATGTATGTGATTGTACTATACCTTTAATTGTGTGAGACTGTAACTTGCGGACAAACCTCACGGTTTTTGCAAGTTAATTACATTTAACTCATGTATTTACTATAATGATATAAATAAATTAAAAAAAAAAAAAAAAAAAAAAAAAAATTAATTTTGTGTTCCCTTCCCTCCCTTCCCTTCATAGTTCTAAATTCAAGGTAGTTTATATTTGCTACATACATGAGGTTTATATTATAAAGAGTAATAGTAAAAAATAGAAGTTTAAAATTTGTTTCATTAGGCAACACTGAATCAAGTTGAAAAATTATTTAAGAAATATGTCCGCCGGATTGTGCGTGTGCTTATTTCTTATATTTCGTATTTTTGAATGTTTTATCGTAATTGCTTTTGTATAGCATAAAACATAAGGCTCAAGAATGTACTTTAAGGTAGATTTTGTAATTGGTGCAGTGACAAATATTATAAAAGACTTACAAAATAATATGTTAATTTCAACCATTGAAGTAATATGTACTTTCGTACTAGAACAGCTATTTCAAACAAAAAATGTGCGCTACTCAGTGTTCGCTCGGTTTGGTTTTTTTATCATTGAATAAACATCGGTAGAATGTTCCGTAGGTAAATAGTACATTGTATTGTTAAATAGGTAAATTATATCGAGAATAATATTTAAATTATGTCATTTATTTTGTATATTATATTTGCTTATTTAATATAATATTACATAATATTATATCACAATTACATTTTAATGATATTTTATCTGAATATTTTAAAAGGTATCTATGTCAAATATAAAAAACATACTAAATATATATAATAAAACTTGTTAACATAACATTTAAATTACAAATATATTTATTTAAATTAGAATCGTTCATAAATGCTGGTTACGCAAGAGTTAAAAAAAAAAAAAAGCAGTTTTAAATATGAAAAATTTAGCCTAATTATATAAACTTATATATGTTTCAACAAAAAATGTGTATAATAATATATTCGTCCTATACTTAAGTACCCACAGAAATGTCGCATCTGAACATATTAATTTCATAATCTATATTCCATGACACGAGATGGCGTCTTAGGAATAATTTGTTTTATTATTAATCTACAACACTTTTTTAAAGATTAAGTATCTTATTAACCGATGAAAAGTAATTCCTTGGTTTTTACTGACATTTCTTGAATTATTTTTTTAATTCTTGAATTAATTACACACGACGGCATATTTTTATGTAGAGATTTTTTTTAAATCAACACAACACGAGACAACTCTACAAGCGCCTAGCGGGTAGTACTAGGCGTTTTATTGAGAAACACTTTTAAAAAACAGTCAAAGAAAAACGAACGAAGAGTTTCCCGAAGATCCAACATTAGGTTTAAAAACGAACAAAATAAATACAGCTCTATATTTCATTCTCGGAACTGTCTCAATCGCAAAACGTTTACAAACTACATGTTCGTTTGGTAGATTCATAGGTTGGATCTAAGTTAACACTCTATTACTATTTCTTTATGAACTTTAGTCGTATTAATAGAAAACAGTTATAGTAACTACTTTACTTTACGCTTAAAGCTAAAATAAATCTTATTTATATCTATACACAATTCAAATTTGGTTGTAGACAGTTGAACAAAAACGAACGGACGGAGAAAAAACGGTATTTTCGGCTTTCTCTTATTCTTTTATGTGGTCGGCTTGGTCAAACGTACGTTTTTTTGTTTTAAAATTTAAATCAGTTTCAGTTGTCGTCAAGTAACGCTTGTCTACGCTTACTGTGTTAGTACGTAGTAGGTACTATTATTCATTGTGTGGTGTTAGCTAATTTCAAATTTCGAAAAAGTGAGTGAAAAAGTGTTTTGTGTGATTTATTGTATATGTTAATTTTTTAATAGTTTTGTAGCTAATTTTGTGAATATAGGTAAATTTGTGAATAATAGTTTTGTACTTTTGTTATTAAAACATTTCGAATTTCCAAAAAGTGACTGATTACGCGCGAAAAGTGTTTTGTGTAATTTATTGTATATATTAATTGTTTAATAGTTTTGTAGGTAAATTTGTGAATAATAGTTTTGTACTTTTGTTATTAAAACATTTCGAATTTCCAAAAAGTAACTGTTTACGCGCGAAAAGTGTTTCGTGTAATTTATTGTATATATTATTTGTTTAATACTTTTGTAGGTAAATTTGTGAATAATAGTTTTGTACTTTTGTTATTAAAACATTTCGAATTTCCAAAAAGTGACTGTTTACGCGCGAAAAGTGTTTTGTGTAATTTATTGTATATATTAATTGTTTAATAGTTTTGTAGGTAAATTTGTGAATAATAGTTTTGTACTTTTGTTATTAAAACGTTTATTTTGTGTAATTTAGTGACATACTTTCGGAAATGTCTCAAAGAAAAAATAGCTCTGCATGGACTCTTTTCATCGTTTCTGCATCGTGGAAGAACGTGCATTTAAAAAACTAATGCGTTGGATACCGGGATATACTTTACCATCCCGGAAAACCTTATCCAATAGCCAATTAACTTTGCTATATAATAACACAAAAAAAAATAATTAAGCCACTTATTAACACAGATTGTGATGCAATCTGTGTCACTTTAGACTTGTGGACGTTACGGAAAACGGAGTCGTACATAGCTGTCACTGGACATTTCATTAGTCGTGACTTTCAATTGAAAACTATTCTTTTAGATTACTGTAATTTTTCTGGACATCACACATCAGTGAATATAGCTGCTGAATTACGGCGTATATTAGATGACTGGGATTTAACCCGCAAAGTCAACTTCGCGGTTTCAGACAACGCCTCCAATGTTACCAATGCCGTGAAAAACCATTTGGGCTGGAAGCACTATGGCTGTTACGCCCATACTCTCAATTTAGTTTTACAAGATTCTCTAGACTATTTGAAGGACAATTTAGGAAAAATTAAAAAAAAATGTTGAATTTTTTCATAAAAGTACCACGGCTTCAGAAAAATTAAATCAGCAACAGCTTTTAAATGGAAAAGCACCGAAACGGCTTATACAATCTATAGAAACAAGGTGGAATTCCACATTTTATATGCTAGAGTGTATCACACAAATAAAGGATGAAGTTAAAATTACCATAGCTCTTCTCAACAACAATTAACCATCATTTCGGAAGAATAGTGGTCAATATTTCCAGAAATATGCCGAATTTCGATTTTTAAGGAAATGACTGCATGCATGAGTAGTGAGAAATATGTCACTGGAAGTGATGTGATTGTGGTTACCAGCATTTTGAAGCAATCGCTTGAAAGTACGGTACCACCCAATTCTGGAAATATTGAATCTTTTTTGAACGCACTACGGTTCAATTTTAACAAAAGACTTGGAAACGTAGAAAAAAGTGGTACATTTTCGCTGTGCACTTTCTTAGACCCCCGGTACAAGATGACCGCTTTTTCGGACCCAAAGATGCGGAAAATACAAAACGTCGTGTACAAATTCACGTCCAAGACCTGATTGCACGGAATTGGCATCCAGCATCCGAAACCGATCCGTCCACGTCGTCGGCCTCAAGCAGCAATTACAACACGGGCTGGAGCATTTTTGACCAATTTATGTCCACCACTGTTACGAAGCAACAAGGAACACCTCTTTCGAAAGCTAAAAAAGAGGTAGAAATGTACGTCGATGATGACATTTTGCCACGTAAAGACGCTTCTGGTAACCTATCAAACCCTCTGGTGGCCTGGTGGTATGGTTATCGCCATATTTACCCAAACTTGGCAGAAATTTTCAGAACCAATTGCAACATAGTTGCAACATCTGGAGTTGTGAACGTATGTTCAGTAAAACTGGCCAAATCATATCAGACAGGAGAGCCAGTTTAAAGACGGATAAAGTGCGGCAGCTTTTTTTTAAACGTAAATTTAGACCAAAAACTATTTAATTTGTAAATATCTTTTGTTCTAGTATTGTAGATAGTGTAAATAATGAAAACGTGTATATAAAATGAACTTTTAAATACGCCTGTTACATTTGTCAGCCAGTCCTAAGCCTGGAAAAAGTATGAAGGGAAGTTCGTTTTATTATTTTGTAAACAAACATATGGTGAAGTCATTACGTACACTGGCGGGTTTTTTTTTTTTTTGGAAAAACTGTTTTTTTTTTTAACTGTTTCTCAGAACTGTTTCTCATTTCCAAAACACGGTTTCGTTTCGTTTTACAAAAAACCTGGAACGACCCAGTACTACTAGCGAGTAACTGATTAAAGTGCGGTGTATGCACCCCAGTTGAGTGGAACAGAGTAGCTGAATGCAGTGTCGCCTCTAGTAGGTAGTACAAAATAGCTCAATGATTTCAACCCTGTAATTTTATGATGATTTTTAGTACCTATGTTACTTTCTAAATTATGTGCAGACAACATGGAATTTTATAACATCTCACGTTTTGGTGTTATTTTATTTTCAAAATATCATCTTGTTTAAAATTGTGAAATAAATATGTTAACAATACTGAAAATCTTTCTTTTTGCCTAAGTCCCACAATTTATCGAGAGTATTTATGCCGATTGCTAACTAACAAACAGTGTTTTCATTGTGATTTAGAAATCGACAAAATACTTAATAAAAATAACAATACGAAAGGAGTAGTATAGAGGTATATATAAAATATATATTATAATATTTATAGATATGTATAGTTGAAACAATAGTTAATAAACTATCTTCCAAGCGGCACTGTTGTCGCGGGAAATTTTTACGTTAGAGATTCTTATATATTTCCGTATACACTCTTATCTATGACCAGTAACTGATCTGTCCAAACTAGTACTGTGATATTTTTTAAATTATCATATTTTTGATATATCGATAATTATACGTATATCAATGTTGGAGTCTTATATATCGTAAGTTAATATAAAGTAAGTCAATATCAGAGTTTTATAAATCGAAAAAAATATCGATATATCAGCTTCATTTAAAAAAAACCGTAAATCATTTTAGTTTAGTTCATTTATTATAATTTTTAAGTAAATTAAATTATAAATTTTAAATTTTAATACGTGGTAGAACAATGCTGCCGTTATATTAGTAGTATAGTGGTAGCACGAATGGATCGGCTCGACTGGGGAAGGACCACATAAAATAGTAGCTTAATGCTGATGTGTTCGTACGGTGAATGTAGAGAACTGGCGACTCTTTTAACATTAAACGAGGCATTCCATCTTGGTCCTCATGGGTAACAACGCATCTGCATTTTATTCGTAATCGAGGATAGATGTAGATGTCTATGGGCTACAGCAACCAGTTACCATCAGGTGGACTGTGTGCTCGTATGTCACCCTATCCAATAAAAAATGTATGTAAATGTTAGATTATGGTGCCTAATAAATATTTTTTAATTTGAATAAGGCGATTATGTGTACCTACCAATATTTTTCCGTAAGAGTTTTCAAAAATACTCGTTGTATTATATGTTCTGCTGTTGATTATGTTTAGAAGCACAGGTGCTACAGATGTAGCTGAAAAAATCAAATATTTAACAGCTATTTCGATAGAACGGGAGTAAAGTCTACCCAGCAGACAGTCGATATGACAGTAACTCAAGTTCATACCTAACCGATCAAAATAACTTGAGGTTTATATTAACATCGATGCACTTGTTTCGACGTGCTTTTTTTTTTCTTTAATATTTTACACGCGCAGACACTTAAATCACAAAATCTCATCAAGTTCCCGCAAAAACACACAGTTAGGATAGTAGTTATAAGTTTCGTAGATCATAGTAATTTTAATACCACAGAGAAATACTATACAATATTACATTTCTTTTTAAGATAATAAGCAAATAAATAAACTAGGGAAAAATTATACAATAAAGTACAGTACAGTAGATTGGGTAGTAGTAGATTAAATGATTTACGAGATTTTATTGAGAAAATTATCGACTGTCGATATACATATTTTAACGTTTAGCCCACCGCGTGACCATAGGTGTTGCCCCGCCTCTGCGTCGAGCATCGAGCGAACCTGCTAATGCTGGTGCTATACTAACGGGAAACGTCAATGCCTGTAGACGCAGCAAGTATTGCTTTAAATTTAACGCGATAAAGTTGGCTACACTTGAACGCTCCACGTCATTAAATTTCAATGCGTCGTTAAATTGAACGGCGTTAAAGTTGGCGTTAATGTTTCTTGAAGACTTTTTATATTTGTTAAAAATGGTTCTATAAAAACCCATTAGGGTTTCCTTCGCCTTTCTAATTCTTCGATACTTGTATTAAAAGATAATAATTGGATAATTCGTGGCAAAACATCATTGTGCGATGTACGATTCCTAAAACTTTTGAGTCTCGGATCCCACAAACATGGCTTTGTGCACTTAATTTTAAGAAACGTAATAACTTTTTTATTATTCGTCTCCATGATAGCTATAGCGACCCTGTTGCGCTCTTCGTGCGCAGTGAGACAAACCTAGTATGGCCGCTTCAACGCGTTATTTCATGCGTTAATCTCTGTACCTATTATATCGCAAACGGCAAACGCATTGTTAATTTCATTTCAAATTAACGCATTAAGTCGTGGCCACACCTACATTCAAAGTCCATCAACGCGATAATTAACGGCATTTCTCGTTAGTGTGGCCCCAGCATAAGATTGTACAAAAATTATAAAAGAAACAAGCTCCGTGGCGCAGTGACTTAGCGAGTTGCTGCCTAGCCGCGGGTTCGAATCCCGCACGGAACAAGTATTTGTAGGGTCTACAAATAATTGTTCTGGGTCTGGATTTTTGTCCTTGTGCATTCTATGTTTTAATCTGCCTTCACGATACAGGAGAAACTCCTAGTGCGAGGGTAATGGTTTTTGTAAAAAAAGAAAAAAGTCCAGAATTAATAATTATTTGATTTGTTTGATAATCAAATATGTTGAGTTTTATAAAATAATAAATTTTTCGTATTGTATTAAGTTACGTAACACATATAGGTACACTATATTTCTTTTTCTCTCCCTCTTTGGAGGCATAAATTTTTTAGAAGTGCCACAGACAAAATTGCGTAACTCCTATGAATTAATAATAACTAATAAAAATACAAAAATAGTGCCGTCACTGATATCTTATATCCACCTTCGTATTACACCATCAGAAAGGTGAGATCATAATAGTTACCTAGATCTTTATGTGCCCTTTCAAAAGAGTTGAGAAAAAAAAAACACGATGGTTTTACGTAGCATCTCTAAGATCCTTTACCCATCTTCTGAGTCAATCATAAGGAAGGTAACATCATCACAATCACCTTAGTCTTCATCCTCCGTCAAACGAATTCTCTAGATAATAAAATAAAAAATTAAATAGCAGAAATAATTTATGTAGCTACTAAGAAAGTAGGTAGGTACTTACCAGTAATTAAAATGAACTGAAGCCAGCGGATTACGACGCGCTCGGAAATCTTTGTGGAGTGCCATCAGTAAAAAATTTCAACCTAAGATTTCGCACTCACAATCACTTTTTGGATTTAGGTCAATTTGACTTTGAGCAATTTCAACTGACAGTACGACCGAAAAAATCCATGGGTTGTCGACAGTTGAAAATTTCAACTTAAAATTCCACATTCACGGTCAGCTTTTGGATGTACGTCAGTTCAACTGATCATTTTAACTGACCGTGTGTGGCGTCCATAACAGAGGGCTTGACCCCTCGGTAGATCGTAAGCACAAACATCGACCGAAGTCGCGCATGTTAATGCGTGTAAACGCCATACAGAATACGATGAAATCCAGCTACAGTCAATTTACGTCACACGGTTTAGGCAAATAAAAACACTGGCTATAAAAAGCACTCCGTGAGCGCCACCACCTTCCAGACTGCCGTTCCTGCAGACTTGATGTAAGTGTATGGCGTCACCATCAATTGCATGCTCAGCACGGCTACTAGCCGCAGAACGTGTCATGAGTCTACCGCTCACCTCAAGGGAA